GTGGTGGGGCGTGTTTGGATGTAAAATATATGTTTGTAAGTAGAAATATATATGTACATACACATATGCTGTACCCCAAATTTACAATTTACAATAAAATAACAAAAGAAAGGAAGAAAAAAATGCCAAACTGCTAAGCATGTTAACCAAACGCACCTCAAAACTCATGGCGTCTTTAAAAATCCACGATTTTTCCTTACATACGAAAAATTGTACATATGTATGTGTCCGCTGATTGTTGGGTATGCATTGTAAAACTTTATTATATATACATATATATTCTTTTTTTTCTTATTACATTTATTTAATTTTTTTATATTATAAAAGTTTATTAGTCTTTTTTATTATATTATTAAATTTTTTATTAAATTATTATAATTTTTATATAACATTATTATATATTTTTATATTATATTGTTTTTTATAATTTTTTTATTATATTATATTTTTTAATTTTTTATTTTATAATATTTTTTAATTTTTTACTTTATTATATTTTTTAATTTTTTATTAAATAATTCTTTTATAAATTTTTTTATTATATTTTTTTTATAACATTTTCCTTATTTTTTATAAAATTTTCATAATTTTCCATAGCATTTTTATAATATATTTATTGTATGTTTCCAACTGTTATATTTTGTATTATATTTTTTTATTATACTTTTCTAATTTTATTGTTAAATTTTTCTAATATTATGTGAAATTTTTATTATATTTTTCCAGTATTTACTTTTCTTTATAATCTTTGTTATATTTCTTTATAATATTTTAAATATTTTTTAACACTTTTAATCATTTTTTTTTTTATATTTTTTTTATAAAGATTTTTATACATTTTTTTATAAATCTTTTCTTAGCTTTTTCATGAATTATTATTAGCAGTTATTTTTCTTTTATTATTATTTTTCTATTAATCGTAGTTTTTTTCATAAATTGTATTTTTTCCTTCATATATTATAATCATTTTCATTTATTTTTATTTTTTAATTAAGCATAAAATTTGATTGCCTATGTTTGGGCACACAGCGTTGCTGTCCAAGAAAATAAATATAAAAAATAAATAAGAGAACACTATGTAAGAAGGAAAACTGGCGACAACGCCGTTCTGGGTAAATTACATCATACAGAAGTTGAAAAAATACTTCTTTTGGAATTGTGTATCCATGAGCATACATGTCAATAGATACACACATACTTAAATATGTGGCATAATGCATGCTTTAGGATAAGCTAAATTATGAATAATTTTACCTACACAATTTTTTTAATATTTATATTATGCTGACATAATGTACCTATGTATAATGTACATAAATCAATATTTAAATATACAGAATACTCTATATTCCATTTAATTTTCACAGATTAATTATGGATTTAAATATACAACAAGATTAAAGCTGCATTAACAAAACATTATTTCTAACAATTACTGCTACTTTAATTATTAAACAATTAAGAACTGTGGTTAGCAACTCTCAATTATAAGGAAATCACCCCACCAACAAGAATAGGAAAAAAATCTGTCAAGTATTATCATGAAGGCAAATAATGTACACAAGAAAGCGCCGACACACACACCCATGCATTGTATGCATGGCACGATGATATGCAAGCATTCGTGACATTTGAAACAATCGAGCACCGATGATTGACAGCGCCGAAGAGTGCGAATCATGTTAGCCGTGTATAAAATTGAAAGAATTAAAATAAATAACTGAAAGGCAATGAAAATATGTGAAAAAATAGGGCGAAAAGAAAATAGCGAATAATTCGGTCATTCTATTTAAGTGAAAAAGGTTTTAGTTTAATTGCAAAATAAAAAAATTTGTTAAAGCAATTTGGTATAGGTAGTTGTTTGTGGCAACGAAATTGAAAGTACCGCGTACGAGAAGGGAAATGGAAACACAAACATATGTACATGAATGTGATGCACAAAGTTAAAATAAATTAATAGTAAAACAAAAAAAAAGTCACATATTAAAAATTAATTTAAAACGGAACAAATTAATATGATATTAAAAAAAATATTGAACAAAAATAGTATCAATATTAAAAAATTTATTTCAATCAAATTAGTAATATATAAATATTTTATAAAAAAATATTGTTATATATATATATGTAAGTACATATGTATATATTACAATTAAGCTAACAAATTATTACCAGTATGTGCATAGTATATACAACAAAAGAGCGGCTATGAGTGTCAAAACCAACTACATATGTACATACATAACAATTTAAACGCATTTGATTTAATTTAAAACTTCCTTTCCGCACCCGAAAAGGGAGCAAACCACAATTGAAATTATAAAATCTCAACTCATTTATATAACACATTCTTACATACATAATATATTAATAATATATATATGTAATAACATGCTCATATTATAAACGATGAATGAATAAATAAATGTAATATAGTATTTGTGTATGTATGTATGTATGAATATATATATGTACACATAAAATATTATACACGTAGCAGGAATTCTAAATTCTTTTTGTCTAAGTGCACATCATCGAAAAGCAACCAGCAAAACTGAACGACTAAATTCTTCAATTAAATTCATAAATATGTAAATATATTTGTTATACATACATACACATATTTATTTTATGTACAATAGCGTGTAATAGCAATGCAGTTTTCCTGTTGTTGTTTTCTGAATTAAGCAAAAATATTACAGATGTTTAAAACAAACTTAATCATTATGGAACAAAAAAAAATATATAAAAAATTTTAAATTAAAAAAAGGATATATGAAAAATAAAACAATAGGCAACAATTAATCAAAAATGGTTTATAAAAAATCAAAATATATCAAAAAAAAACCATAGAAATAAAATCAAAAGCATATTAAAAAAAATATTATATATAAAAATATATAGAGAATAAATTTAAAATATTATAAGAAAACTAAATAATTAAATAATTGAATTACAAAACTTAATAAAAATTTGCTTAAAATTTCAAATTTTTAGAATAAAAAAGTCGTTTAAATTCAAGAAAATAAAAAGGAGAAAATAAAAATGCTGAATGAAAAAAGTGAAAATTAACACAAAAAAAAAGTTAAAAAAAAAAATAAAACAAGAAAAAATATCAAACAAATAAAGGACTAAAAAAAATAAATTAAACTAATTCATAAAAATTATATACATAGAAAAACATTTTATTAAATTTTCCAATTTAGTGAGTTAAATTTTTACTTTGCGTGCACATTTTTTGCACACTACTGTAAATCTAAACGGAGCGCACGAGTTTCAGTTGCGAATGTGGTTGCAAGAAAATGCGAGTCAACCACGAGTATGAAAATTGAGCAGTTCTATTGAATACAAGTATAAATACTTTGATGGGGAGCGGTGCAGTGACGTAGGCGGCGGATATGATGCACATGAAAATTTAGATAAAAGTAACAAAATACTGGTGTATATGTAGCATATTACAGATAGGCATATGTATATACGAATATTTGTTTGTTATACATATAATTATGGTATGAGTGGACGGCTGAGTATGCGATGACACATTTTTTTTTTTGGTTGAAGCAATGCAGAAAAAATACTTTTTCGTTGTACATATGAATTTATGTAATTAATTAATATATTCTATAAAAATCGAGTCAACGATTTCATAATGAACACATTGATGCATGTGACTGTTAAGGGTGTTTCTAATATGAAGATTATGTGTAAAAAATGTCGGCATTTTACCATCAACAAGCTGATTTCGGGGCGTTACAACTTTACACTTTCATTGGCAGGCATATTTCATAATCTTCGCGCATACATAGATACATTTATTTGTATATATTTGTATGTATGTTGGTAATCTTTTGTGTATACATATACACAAAAATATCAAAAACTACACGTGTATATAAGTTTTATAATGACACTGAGTGTTTCTAAATAAAAAAGCGTGCTTAGATACACAATTTTTTGGTGAAAAACGAGTAAAGACCTTAAAATATAACCAAAATTAATATATTAAAAGCTGCAAAATCTGAAGTCAAATGTTAAAATAGCTGTTTATCTCATAGGCATTTAATTTGAAAATGCCTATGTATATCCATACATACATACATCCCTAAATGTACATATGTATATACACGTATTTACTCATGCCATATGATTCACTACACCTTTATATATGTACATTAAATATTAAAACAATAGCATTCAAAAAGAAAAGAATAAAACCCGTCAAGCGCCTAAAGAGGAACTGACCAAATGAAAAAAATTAAATATTAAATAATAAAATAATGAAGCCATAAATAAGAGGCGATAAATTTTATAAGCATTTTGTACACAAACATAAATACATAATTTTCTAGTATACATATGTGTGTATTTACATAAGTATATCATGTCTGTATAATTCCTAAAATTTAATCATTTAATCTCTTTAATTTCTAAATATTTTGCATTTAATTGCACACTCACTCACTCACATAAAATATTGTAGTTGCAAAGTTTACTGCTGCTTGAATGCCTCGCTAAATCAGTCGTGTTGACGCCTCTTCCACCTCCTCTTTTTTGGCCTATACTACACTTGCGCTCCTACTCGTTTTTCAAAACGGTCATTTATACACTCACACACATGCGCTCCCACTGATTCGTCTGTTGTTTGTTTTATTGTTATTAATCGCATGCGTTGAAAGCACTCGTGTATTCGGTTTTTCTCCAACGTATCTACTTCTCTAAATAAAAAAAGAGTATTCACAAAAGCAATAGCTACTCGGGTATGCGTTGGTCAAAGAGTTATTAATTGAGAAGTTGCCGAATTTTGAGTCGATTACTCTGTTTGCTTGCACTTGTCGTTTTTTTTTTTTGTTTGTTAAACCATATACACAAATGTATATGAGTTTATAGGTGCGTACATATTTATATAAATTTCATACAATTTATATAAGTTATTTGTTGTTGTTTAATTGAGTTTTTGTATATTTTATAAGCTGTAATAGTATCTTTTGGCATTGAATTTTCATTTGAATTTTCTTTGTTTTCTTGTATTTTTCCTTTATTTTCAAGCTTTTTTCTTTTACATTCATATGGATGTTTGTAACGTCAGTCTAACTTTTTTATTTCTCTTTTTTACCAAAAGTTTGCTGTGTGGTTATTGTTGTTTATCGCAATTTTACAACTTTCATGTCAATTTCGATTTTCGCAAATTTCGCACACATACGAAAATCTGCACTGCAATTTCGTTTGCTTTTAAATGTTGATTTTCTGTCTCTCGTTTTCACAACGCCGCCACAAAGACAATAAGGTCGACGTGTTAGCAAGACTCTGCTGCTGCTCTCGCTACTTTTCACAAATCTTCACAACGTGGGTGGAAAATTTTCACAAATTTATTTCGCTTTTTTTATTAAAAATTTATTATTACACAAATATTTTTATTATTTAAAAATGATTCAATAAGAGTTATACAAGTACTTTTCCCAGCTAATTTGCGTATTCATTACCAATACCACTGCAAAAATAATACACAACTGCTGTAGGAGTATTGCAATTTTATTGAGATGTCAGAGTATATAGTTGCGAAAAAAATATTAAATTATAATTTGTTGTACACATTAAACAATATAATGCGCTACGGTTATGTCGTAGTCAACGATAAAAATCATCCGTCTGGTTGAAAGGCACAAAACAAATTACGTTGCGGTCGCGAGTTACGCCAGCAAAAGCAGCGAAGATACCGGAGCAGACATTAACGTCGACGTCGACGTGGTCTCTCGTACGACGGAGCACCACCATTGCCGACGCAACACGATGCGACGCTGGCTTTACTGCAGATAGGGTGGGGTGTTGTGAGGCGATAACAACAATAATAATCACAGTTCGAAAGAGTAATGAGATAGTGGCAAAACAACAAAACGCCTCAAAACACACATACAAATAAATTTGCGTCAGTATATATGGCCATTCAACGACAAAACAACAATACATTGTAAGCAACAGCATTGTGCCAGTCACCGCAAGAACAACAAATTCTCGTAGAGTAAGTACAATATAACACGTTGCTTACAGTTCTCGTGTATACTAATAATGTATATACTATATGCTACGAATACAATAAACTCGCATGCATAAATATTTTACTGTTTGTTTGTAGCAAAAAACAATAACAACGAAAGATTGAATATAAAATACCCATACAATACAAGAAAATGTGTTTACATGACTACTTATATATGCATGTATCTACGAATGTATATAAAATAGGGAGTGAAATAAAGACCAAGGAGCGACAGAGGAGCTGCGATGCGCTGCACTGCTATAGTGTGTCACCAAAAATTAGCTCTTCCCGACAAGCCAAGCGGATAACAACAATAAAAATCAGCAACGATAACAAAAAAGCTTAAGAAACAGCATACATATGCCAGTAGGTTTACAATGCAATTGAGTGATTATGCGCTCTTTTACACTCTCTCTCTTTCAGCTCAGTTTGTATATAATGCAGTTACACTAATAAATATAACACATGAGCTTTAGGAGCATGACCGAAAGCAGTCGATTCTTAAGTATTAAAAATTAAATATGTAATGTAAAATGAAACAAAATAGAATAAAATAAATATATAACATAATAGCATATAACGAAGTAAATAAAGAAATAAATAAAAAATTATAATAAAATTACAATAGAATATTTAAATAAAATAATATGATATAAAAATAAGTTCTAATGAAATTGAAGAAAATACAGCGAAATGAAACAAAACAAAGTTAAATAAAATGAAAATAGAATAAATAAAACAAAAAAAAAAACAAAGAATAATTAATAAAAAAAGAGGCAATTTAATATATTTAACAAAAAACTGTAACACTATAAAATGAAACAAAATAAATAATAAATAAAAATTTAGTCAAACAAGATGAAAAGAGATTAAAATAAATGGAAAAAATTAAATAAAGTTAAAGGAAAATATCACTTTTTAAAATCAGTTGTTCACTCTACTCTCCGCGTTACTCTCCTGTATATACGTAAATGCACACTCGCTCTCCTTGTATAAGAACATCAAAACAACAACAACAAATGCTGTCGAGCACTAACTAAATTTATCTCTATTCAAACTCATATTGCCTGGTCGGCCGGTCGGTTGGTCGGTCTAGGTTTCCTTTTTTTTCGTAATTGTCTTTTGCTTATCGCCGCTGTCGTTCTCATTTGCCCACAATTGTCTGGGTTATTTGTTGACTTCTATGCACATATAATACAATGTGTGTATGTATATATGTGGTTCTAGTTGTGTGTTTATATTTAATTTAATGTATATTAGAGTTTGTTCTGCTTGGCGTTAAGTCAGCTCCTCAAAATGATGAAGTGTAAATTAATTAAATACGTACATATGTACAGTGTCTCATACAAGTATTCGGTCAGGTCATTTTCCCCTTGCTTGTGAAAAATATGTGAAATTGTGTAAAATATGGGAAGAAAATCTAGATAAACCTCATTCGAAGAAAGGTAAAGAATCAGTATTCTTCGTGGGGTCGCAATAGCTTTACAAGAAATATCAAACCTTGCCTATAGAAACCTTTCAACTATCCACAGAAATTGATTGGACTGAACTGTACCTATAAGTGTGCTAACGGTGACGGAAACATGTCTTTTATCACTGAAAAAATGGATGATCGACAAAACGTCCTAATATATAATATTCATTTGTTATCGCGTATAATTTCGAACTCTCATGTCGTTATATATTTCAACAGCTCAAAATTCGAAGCTTGGAATATTGTACAACGACCCAAAATTTAAGAACATCGTATCCGTCCCCGGACCTCACACCGAATTACAGCCGAAACTACCTATAAAGAATTGGACAAACTTTTGTGGGAACAAGGAAATAAGAAATATTTGAAATGCCAAAAAGATAAAGCAAAGTCTACGCTACTAATTTTTCTGTTGTTTTTTTTTCTTTTCTCTTCCGTTATAAGTAAAATGTATTTTTTTGTAAAATAATAAAAAATTTTAAAGAACGCTTGAAATTATTTTTACGAATACTTTTGTGTGGTACTGTATATTCTTTAACGAGTATGTGTTTAAGTGTGCTTGAATTTAAATGAGCAGAAAATAGTTGGTTAGAGGACTGACTGAGAAGCCACAACAAAAACAAATTCAATTAAAATCACAAAAAATATGTATATATTTATGAAAATGAGCATATATTTTATATACAGTAAAGTATTATGATAAATACAAGCTGTTGTTGCTGAAAAATTTGTTTTCGATTTAAAACTCTTAAGAATAATTATGTTTATGTCTGTTCATACACATACACATACATATATATAATATAAGTACATATGTATGAAAAAGTATATTATACATAGGTGACAATGACAGTCGTCGTTACGGAGATATCAGAGTGGTAAGGCGTGTTTAACCAGACAAACGCGTGCTCAATACCTACACAGCTAATATATTAGCAGAAAATTTTTTTCTACGAAAAACAGCCAAAACAAAGATAATTGAGCACTTCTAGAATATAAAATACTACATAGCATACATACAGAATGCACAAGCAAAAAATGTTAAATTGTTAGGCAATGGCGTGGCGAATATACTTGAAAACGTTGTATTTGGGTGACATCAAATCAACCAACCGTTAGCTTTTTTATAGCCTTTATAAAGACAACAAAATTGTGACAGTGAATAAGCAAATTAGTAATCAATTAACTCTGTAAATGAGTTTTGATTACTCCTGTTATTTCATCAAACTTCAAGCATTTCATCATTTGCTCAAAGAACATTTTCCTATACACCTGCAGCGGTAAAAACGAATGCACATGTGCTCCATTTTTGTGCATTCAGTCCCTCACTGGTCTCTCAGTGTCAGTCAATGCTCTCATCATTCATATTCTTTCTTACAACTGAATTATTAATTTTAATTCAGTAATTGATGTATGGTTTTTTTGAGGAAAAAAAAGATAGAAACTACGTGCGAACATTTCCGTATTTGTATGTATATACATATACATATGTATGTGTGGTGTGTTTTTCTTTCAAAACTATGACCACTCACGAGTTAATTAACGCCGTTACGCCCCACAAAGTAACAGTTTTTAGGCAAAATAAAAAATACAGCGTGTGCCATATGTTCAAGAAAAAAATTATCATAGAAAAAAAATTATCATAGAAAAAAACTATAACATTCGTATATAACCTCTACGGCCCATTTATAAACATGCATATGTGCAGATGTATGTACTTCTAATATATGATGAAAACTTTTTGTTTATTACGTTTAGGTAAAATATGCTTTTTGTTTATATAACAAAAGATATAGCAAAGCTGAGCGAATGCAAGAGTAACAAAATAACGTCAACGAGAGAGGTCGTGAGTAAGAGAATGAGCAGACTTATGATCGAGTGGGGTGGCATATTGGCACAATACATAACTAAAGTACGAATAATAACAATAAAAAAATTGCAAAATGAAATAAAAAAGTAATCTTCACCTGCCGGTTGTGTTAGCCTGGCAAAACTGAACTCGTGAACAAAAAAATTTAAAAAAATTATCAAATATTAGAAAATTCTTGGTGAATAAATCGAAAATCTGGAAAACACGAGGCAGCTCGATATGGATTTCTAAAGAAGTTAAAATGGAGTAATACGAATCTAATCAGTTCTGTCAATAGTAAATAGATTATGGCATTAGTTTGGGCTTTAAACTCTGCTGACAGAAGTATTTTTCAAACATTATTAATTTTATAGACATCCAAGGGCCCACCAAATAGTTGCTGAACACTTTGTAAATTTTATTTAAAAAAAAAGGCAGGGAAAACGAGAGGAGGCTGCCGAAGCGAGAACGATGAGTGTTATGTATGAGTCATAATTTGTATTAAAATAGGGTATTAATGCATTTCAACCATATAAAACAGTTATATATATGTATGTTACTTAATTCTTCTTCTTTCGAAGCCAAATCGTTAATAACAAATAAAAAAACAAATAAAACATTGTAAATTATTTAATAATTTCCAAAAAAATAATGCATTTTTCTTTTAACAGCTGAGTTTTGCTACTTTTCACACTTTCTTGTGTACTCTCAATGACATCTCACTTTAAATGAAATTGCCAACTACACAACTGTGCGCAGCAGTCGTCTCTTTTTTGCATAGTGTTGTTTATACGAAAGCCTGTTCCGGCCGGTTTTTGTTGACATATTTTTTTACCCAACAAGAGTCAAAATACAAAACAAATAAACGACGATACTCTACTGCTTCTTCTTCCTCCGCCTCCTTCTCCCCGAGCGCTCTAATGCAATGAAAGGCGAGAGAGTGACAACAAGTATTATTGAAAAAGCAAATAAATAAAAATAAAAACAAAAACAAAAAAAAAACAATGAAAAGCCGAGTTCCACTGTTGTATACAGATGACAGTGTTGTTTGTATGTGATTTTTTCAGTACTCTCTGGTTTGTTTATTTTTACACTTTTTCACCTATGTATCTGCCTTACTTTGCTTTGCATTCATTTATTAGTATAAATGCTGTTTGCAGCTTTTGAGTATATGTGTTTGAATATTCCTGAATACATACATATTTATTTATTTTTTGTTATTATTTCTGTGCTGTTTAAAAAGTAGCTGGTGAGTGGGTAAATGGCTGCGCTAACTCTCGCGAGAATGAAAGCGTGGCCTTTTAGGGCAACGCGTTGGCATTGTTTTTTTTTTTTTTAATTATTTTATTCTTTTTTCTCATACTCGGCGAAAGCTGAGAGCAGAGTGGATAAGAATGGATATACAAACATATTTATGTGCGTATATACATACAAACATGTTTATGTATGAGTAAAATATTTCTAGAGATCGACAGTTCGAGAGCACATTTAATTGTTTGTATGTGTGTATGATGTGTATATAGATTTTAAGTATTTCCGCATTTTATAAACATTTATGCAGAGAAATATTTAAAGTAAAAATAAATCTAAAGGAAAATAGGTTAAAGGCCAAAATGTGTTTAGAATATACAAAGGTGGACGACGGTGCGCTGCGCTTATTTAGCTGCGTTCGAGGAATTTTTTAATTTATTGAACACACAAACACAACGGTGTGTAGACTAAAAAATCCCCACTGCCTTGCACGAATCGTTTTTGTTTTTCTTTATTTCGTTGTCACAAGCATCTCAAGCAAAACTAACGAACGATTCACGTCAACAACAACTAGAACAATGCTGCTATAAAAAAGAGGTTGTCCGCGTTGCGTTGTTGCTCTTGTTTTTACAGTTGTTCTACCCTACATATGTATGTATGTACATACATACTATATTAAAGTAGCATAAAAAAACCAGCTACGAGTAAACACGACTGGCTTTACAACAATAATTGACGAATACGAATATTAAACGAAGAACATTCAAAAAAAAAAGTTGAAAGCCAACAAAAAATATGTAGGACAAATGCGACGAGAAAACTAAATACCAAATACTAAAGTAGATAGACGACGCCAAATGTAGTGAATGCGACATGAAACAAGTTGCGTAGCCAAGAAGAAAGAGCTTAAAAAGAGAGCATACAAACAAATTTCGGTAAATTAAAGAGCGCGCAAGTGCGTAGCGAATGTTATGAA